GTGTTTACCTGAGTGTTTACCTGTGTGTTTACCTGTGTGTTTACCTGTGTGTTGTGTGTCTCAGACCTGCGCTGGGTCCAGGTGAGCAGCTCTGAGGAGGCCTACAGGGTGATGAAGATCGGGAAGAGGAACCAGAGCTTCTCGTCCACCAGACTGAACCAGCTGAGCAGCAGGAGGTCGGCTGGTGACAAACACTTCACAGATCCAGCATCTCCACACACAGTTCAGATCAGACTGTCAGACTTCAGGCTGAAGCAGGATGAGACGGGGCTGTGGCCGTAACCATGGCAGCAGTTATTTCCACCAGGCAAAGTGGTTCATTCAGACTTTCAGAAATATTTGTGTGAATAATCTTAATAGAGCCGAGAGAGAAGTTTAAGCCCACCTGACAGTTCACTGGCCTCTCAAACCTAAAACCTGCCAACAGGTTCAGAAGGCACGAGGCCTTTACCATCACCATGACACCGTTTATCATCCAGAAACTGAAAGGAACCGCCAGAATCCTTCTGACAGTCGTGAAGGTATCATGTAGGGCCGGTCGTTGTGGTGGTACCTGAATAGCAGTTTCAGGTACCACCCCCACCCGACACATATTCTAGAGCAGAGAGGAAAAGTCTGGAGAGGCTGGAACATGGAGGTAGCTCAACATCTGCAGGATGAGGAGACCACATGAAACAATCTGGGACTTGCCAAGATTTAAAATCTTATTTTTAGACACGATAGATAATTTGGCTTGTTGTAAAAGTTATTTGCTCATTTCTCAAACTTGGTGTTTATGTCTTGTGTTTGGGCTGCCCTTTTTTGCAGTGCACACAACGACAGACAGTAGACAGAACTGTCCCAGATCTCAGGAAATGACAAAACCAGATATCTTCTCCACATACAGGAGCTTCTCTGTGTTTGTCTCTGCAGCCACAGCATCTTCTCCATCAGGATCCTCCGAGTGGACGACGTCGGGGTTCCCAGGGTCCTCGGCATCAGCGAGTGAGTCTCATCATTCACGCGGGAGGTGGAGGTTTACCTGCACAGGTGGATGACTCTGTGTTGTGTGTCCAGGCTGGCGCTGTGCGACCTGGCCGGCTCGGAGCGCTGCTCTCGGACCCACAACACCGGGGAGAGGCTGAAGGAAGCGGGAAACATCAACAGCTCGCTGCTGACGCTGGGGAAGTGCATCAGCGCCATGAGGCTCAACCAGAACGCCAAGTAGGATCACACTCCAGTCGCCATGACAACTCTGGTGTTCCTCACAACAAACACCACAAACACACAGTCACACTTTGCAAAAGGCTAACTGGGGTTTTGGTGAAGCCGCTGCAGCAGCCCTGTCTTCTTATTGTCTTGTTCAGTCTTTCTCTGAGGTGTGAAGCTCAACAGTTTGGTGCTCAGAACCTCTTCTCATGAATAGAACTACATCAGACAGGTGGTGAAACAGTACGGACTCACAAACAGCCACGGAGTAGCACAGCAGCGTCGTCTATGCAGTGATCCTGCTGTAACGGATCCTGATGGGAACTTACCGACTCTTCGACCAATCAGAAACATGCTCAGCTTCTCTGTAGATGAACTGAATGTTCCTCAGAGCTCTGAGTGACTCCAGATGATCAGTCTGAAGTCATCATAACAGCAGGTAGAACTGCTGATGAGACTGAGAGCAGAGCAGCTGCACACCTTCATGACTCCTGAAAAGGCATCAGCTGGTGATTTCACCTCTTTTCTTGGAGATTTTGCTGCTTCTCGTGGTAATTTTGGCGATCTCGTATCTCTTTGTGGCGGCTTTTGGTCTTGTGGTAATTTTCTTCTTTTTGTGGTGATTTTGTGCTTTTTTATTGTGATGTTTTAGCGTCTGTCTGCGGTGATTTTGAGTCTTGTTGTGGTGTTGTGTGTTCATTTGGTCTCTTTGGTGATTTTGCACATTTTCGTGGTGATTTGTGGTGACGTGTGTTCCCAGAGCAAACACAGCTGAAGGAACTAACTTGCCGACCGGGGCTGCAGCCAATAATTGGTTTCACTGTAGATTATATTCTGAATGAATCGAGTCACTGTTTGATCTATAAAATGTAAGAACACGGTGAAAGCTGTGGATCAGAGTTTTCTCCAACGTTTTGTCCGAAGATCTTCAGGTTACTGTCAAAGAAATCAGAAAATGTTCACATTGAAGAAGCTGCAATCACAGAATCTCCAGTTTTTTTAATTTAAAAATGTCAATACCTGATTAATCAATGGTCAAAATAGTTGATGATTGTTCAGTTATTATTACATTAGACTTTATTAGTAGCTGACAGACTGTCTTATCTACTAAAACCTCCAACTGGACATCACAGCAGCCGACCTGACAGAAGATCATCTCCATTCTAGTTTCCTGCAGCCGACCAAATCTGAGCTAGAAGTCAAGTTTAGTTCATAGCATTCATCTTTCTGGCTTTAAATTGGAACTTTTCCAGTGGGCTTTGGTTTGGTGAAGGATAACTCTGGTGGTAAAGTCTCTGTTCTGAAGTAATACACTAAAGTAGTTGTCCATCTTGATGTTCTCCCACTGAGAATCAGACGTCTGGAGCCTCTCAGTGACTGAAGACTGACTGTCCTCTGCAGGTTCCAGCACCACGTTCCCTTCAGGGAGTCCAAGCTCACCCACTTCCTGCAGTTCTTCTTCTGTGGTGCCGGCCGGGTCTCCATGGTGGTCAACATCAACCAGAACTCGTCCTGCTTCGACGAGACGCTCAACGTTCTCAAGTTCTCAGCCCTGGCTCAGAAGGTCAACACACGAACACTCATGATGACACGCAGCAACATGACGGTGTAATAAATACAGCGTCTGTCATCCTCAGAACCCCGAAACTCGCTCTTATGTGTAGAAAGTCATCAAAGCGACACAAGTTATCAGCTAGAGGCCGTAAAAACAGAAACAACCTTCAGATGTTCTGACGGTCTTTGAATGCGTCGTGTGTCTCGTACGTCACGAACATGAACCAGGTCTGAGCTTGTTGTGTTAAAATCTCTTTATTCTTTATTCTACGTGTCTCATTCAAAAACTCTCCAGATTCTGTAGAACCAGAACATTCCTCTTGGTTCTGATCCTGTAGAACCAGAACCTCCCTCCTCCTGGTTCTGATCCTCCACCACTGACTCAGTTGAGAGTCTTCAGGTGAACTGCAGCCAGAGTTTCCTCAGAGAGACTGAGAGGAGAATCCAACCTGCTGGATCAATGAATAAATGCAGCACGGATCAGAACCAGAGACCAGAGGAGCCAGTTGGTGGAGATACATTCAGCCACAGTCTGGCTTCAGAGCAGAGAAGCTCCACAGAGTCTAACTTCAGGTGTGACTCTCATCTGTCCAGGTGGTGGTTCTGTCCTCGAGGCCGGCGGTCCAGGACGACGCCTCCCACAGGTCGGCCATGGAACTGTCGATGATCATCGACGAGGCCGACCGGCGCAGGAAGGTGTCGGGTCGCGGCAGGAAGAGCTCGCTGGTTGCCTGGGAGACGAGCCTGGAGGATGTGATGGAGGACGGCGAGGAGTGGGAGGAGGAGGAGGAGGAGGAGGAGGAGGAGGAGGAGAGCGCGATGGAAGGGACGGTGCTGGAGGCAGGAGGTGAGGAGGACGAGCAGGACATAACCATGGAGGAGGAAGAGAAGGTAACACTCAGTCATTTAAATTATTGATTGATTATTGATCACAGCCTCTTAAACCAACAGGATCAATTCACTGACACGTTACCGTTTTGTATTTTTGTTTCTGTGTGTTTCTTCATATTTCTGTGTGTCTGTGTGTCTGTGTTGTGCGTCGGCAGTCGGGCAGGGAGGCGGCGCTGCGTTTGGTTCTGGAGGCTCAGATCAGAGAAGAAGTCAGCGCTGAGTTCATGGAGCTGTTCAACAAGATGGAGAAAGACTACAGGTAAAGGTGTTCTGGCCATGTGACCAGCAGTAAAGAGGGAACGAGCTGCACGACGTCACGTCTGTACGAAATGTTTCCATGTGGGGTTCTGACGAGATGGTTGTGGTTCTGGGCCAGTGAGCGTCTGGAGAAGGAGAGGGAGATCCTGGAGGAACGAGCAGAGAAGAGGGTGGAGATCCTGAAGAACCTCGTCAGCAAGACGGTCGACCTGTCGGCCGCCAACGCTGAAGGCAGCAAGGTGATGAAACGTGACCCCCGCCGACTGTTGCTGATCACCGTTATTGATCCCTGACTGTTGCTGATGTTGATGGGTTATTAGGAGGAGCAGGTGGTTCAGTTGGAGGGAATCATCAGCTCAATGACTGAAGACCTGGAGAAGATCAGAGAGGATGCTCAGAGCGTCCACCGCTGTCTGGCTGAACAAACACAAGCTGCAGGTAGAGTCAAGACCTAAAGCTTCCATCCACTCATAGAGACCATGCTCATCATGTCAGTCTTTAGTCTCCAGTGACTCCTAGAACTCAGAATCTTCTCTGATGGAACCATTGACACATGAATCGTGTGTTCTGGTTCTTTCATAGATTTGTTAAAGTTCTTCTGGAAACA